TACTTTAGTGTTGTTTCAATGGTCAATTTATTAACTGAGTGATTACAATTCATTGTCTATGTGGGTAGGTAGAGTTGTGAATTGAACTGAAATTGAATTGTGCCCATTTTGCAGAACCATGATTGACTTAAGAAATTTGGTATTAAATCCCCAGATATTCAAAGTTTGCTGCAGAATTAAATCACTTAATAAATAACTTATGTAGGACATCGACAGCCATTTATGCTTTGATGAGATAGCTATGGAGCCTCATTTTGTGAGAATTTAGCAGGCCCCATTCTTGTGCATTATTTTGCACAAACCTATTAGTGAAGTCCCGTGTCCAGGAATGATATTTTTTCCCATTCCCTTCAGGCTTTCAAAAATGCTTGGGAGATAGCTTGTTCATTGCCCATGCGTATGAGAATTGTAATTCCTGTTGGAAGCACTTACCTTGTCCACCCTGTCGATATTGCTGGACCGTGTAGATCAAAGGTTACTTTAATGGTATGATTCAATTCTCTTACATCCCTTCTAATTAGCAGTATTTAGATGATAATGTATCTATTGTTCAGTTGATATTTGTCATTCAAAAATATCTGCATTCACTTTAAAAGACTGCATGTCTTAATAGATCTCTGGTACCATTGTTGCTCCCAAAGATCCAGATGCTTGGATTGGTTTGAATCCACGTAAGTGGCTTTATTTCCATGGAGTGAACCACCTTACCCTAGAAGGGGGAGGGAGAATCAATGGGATGGGACAGGAGTGGTGGACTCGGTCTTGCAAGACCAACTCAACAAATGTATTGCTCTCTTGACCCTGTAAACTTATGTTTCATTTAAAGACGATTCTACCTGCATCTGTCTAAAACTAGCTTGAACTTGTTTGTGGCAGCCATGTCGACATGCTCCAACGGTTAGTGCTTTCTTATTTTATGAGCAAGCAGTGTTTCGTTTCTTCTCATATTGTTTTCATTTTACTTCCGTTATTTCACTTGAGAAAGTTTCTTGTCTCTGATGGTTTCATAGCCTTAATTTGGGATATTAAATACATTCCAGGGGGTTACATTCCATAGGTGTAAGAATTTGAAGGTCAAGGATCTTATGATTGTCAATAGTCAACAAATGCACATGGCATTCACTAACTGTATGCGGGTAGTGGCATCCAATCTCAGGGTGATGGCCCCTGCTGTTAGTCCCAATACTGATGGAATCCACATTAGTGCATCAAGGGGCGTTGAAGTCAAGAACAGCATAATAAGAACAGGTCAGTTATCCAAGGAAACTGTTGCTAAATTTAAATCTATTCAGTGTTCTTGATCCTAGAACTATATCTTTTTTTTTTCTCGAGTTGTTGCAGAGAAGGTTGTTACTTGTTACCTTTAGCAATTAGATGTTGATTTTTGTGCCAGTTTGCACATCTATATGCATTGTAAGTTGTAACTCATTCATTATCTTACATCAAGTTCTTATACTCAATCCAGGAGATGACTGCATTTCAATAGTCAGCAATTCTTCACGAATCCGGATTATAAATATTGCTTGTGGCCCTGGTCATGGCATAAGGTAAATATTTACTTTCATTTAGGCTTCACTCTGGGAATCATACGTACACCTTACTAATTTTCAAATGCCTTCTTAAGCATTGGAAGCTTGGGAAAGTCAAACTCTTGGTCACACGTGCATGATGTATTGGTTGATGAAGCATTATTGTCTAACACGGACAATGGAGTGAGGATCAAAACATGGCAGGTAATTTTCTTCTCTAAGTTCTCTGTTCACATGCACACATGAGGCATATGTACCTTTTTTCTTTTTTCTCCTTTTCTTTTCTCTTGATCTGAACTAATATGTAGTTGATTGAAATTGGGTTTTCTGACACCATCAGGGAGGTAGTGGTTTTGCCTCTAACATTGCATTCCGGAATGTGTTGATGGACAATGTATCAAATCCGATAATAATAGATCAATATTATTGCGACTCTTGGCTGCCATGTCTAAATCAGGTATGGAATTCTTATCATACTTAGCATGGAGAGGGTTCTTAATTGTCCAGGCAAAACAAAGAGCGTTAGATACTACTCCCTCATCATATATTTTTTGAGCTATCCAATGTAAAATATACTAACATCCGAATCCTGAGAAAATGCAGAGTTCAGCAGTAAAGGTGGAGAATATATCCTTCGTGCACGTTAAAGGGACTTCTGCTACAGAAGAAGCAATAAGTTTTGCTTGCAGTGATGACTCTCCATGTGAAGGATTATATTTAGAAGATATTCAACTTCAATCATCCATTGGGGGAATTACAAGATCTCTTTGCTGGGAAGCTCAGGGCTCAAGTTCAGGTTCAGTCGACCCACCCGCTTGCTTTTCGAGTTTTTCGAGTAGTGAAAACTTCATGAAGCGGAAAGTCAATCCACAGACCATTCATTCACAGAGGTTAGCCAATCTGAACTATGGAGGAAGGGCAACCCAATAGAATTTGTGGTAAATATCTACCTATATAGCTTATAAATTGGATTTTATTTTTATTTTTTGGAATCCTTCTTGTTCTTGAAGGCATATGGGATCGTTGAAGCATTTTTTCCTTGTACATCCCACTATAACAAATATGTTTGAAGAAAAGAGACCTTGATGATATCCATGCGTTGAAATAAATGGTACATATTTTATCTTATGACTCTAATAAACTTTATTTCTACATATTTATGTATATTGTAAATAAATAAATAAACTTTCGGAGGGATATATTTTTTTTATTATTCGTTTGTGTGTTGCCTGTTTTGGTTCTAAGGTATGTTCTGCAATGTTCATGGTTAAGAAGCTTATGATGAAATGCGCAACTGGTTTATTTATTCGCACGAAAAGAGAGAAAAAGTGTTTACAAATTTTGAGAATGGAATAGTTTGGGAATGGCCAACTGAGCTTCCTGATGATATTTACAATTTAAAGAAACAAAAGAATACCTAAAAAAGCACCGAACCGATGACAACTGAGAAAGAAGAGTTTAATTTTGTAAAATAAAAGGCAAAGGAAGTTGGGTAAACTGAAACATAAGGAAGGAGTTGGGTAAACATTGAATGGTAAAACATAATAATCAAATTAATGCATTATGTAAGTTAGGCCAATTTTTCAAGTCCGCTCCTTCGCACTCAAGTTCGAGTCCATTCCCTGTAGATTCTTAATTGAGTTATTTACACAAACTCTACCTGAGGTTTTCAGTGTTTTCACAAAACCCCTTAAGGTTTTAAAAATTACAAAACATGTCTTGAGGTTTCAATTTGTTTTCACAAAACCTCTTTTCATTGATTCTACATCCAAAAATTTGATGATTTCGTACATAAAAACTTTTGCAAATAACAAAATTAATCTCAACGAATGTATGTGCAATCTAATCTTAAATGCTAACTTTGTCATATGAAGAAATTTTGTATATAAAATTATTAAGTTTTGGACTAAAAATCAATGGAAATGGGTTTTATGAAAATAATTTAAGACCTAAGGGGTGTTCGTCTAATTTTTAAAACCTCAGGGGTTTTGTGAAAACACCGAAAATCTCAGGAGAGTATTAGTGTAAATAACTCTTATTAATTTAAGAAACTTATAAACTTCCTATGCTCTCCTCCACTTGAGATTCCTTCTTTGCCTTTATTTATTTATTTTTCTTTTATCTTTTTCTGGTCGAAGCCTTTATATATGCTTAGCAATAGGTTAGTTTTGCTTTTTTATTAGAAAGCTCAAGAAATATTGAAGAGTCACCGCAATGCGCCATATTATATAACATTATTACAGGAGATTTTGTGGGCTTAAATCTTCTGAAAATTATCAATAAAAACTGAGTGAAATGTGATTTTTAACACTGCTCATGCAGTATGTAATATTATTAGACTATTTTGTTTGGCACTGTAATTTACTCAAATCTACCTGTCTCAGAAAAATTCTATATATAACAAGAGTTGCCGTGGTTTATTTCATCCAATATCACTTGTAGTAAGAGCTTTTCAAAATAGTGCTTCTTAGCTAATTAGGTTTTTTTGCCATCATAGAAGATGAACTTTGCAAAGATTGCTTTTTTCATGGGCCTCATCGTTGGTTTTGCACTTCTCAATTCCCCTGAGGCCTCTGCTTTACGAGGGGTTGCCCTAGTTAGTGAGATTCTTGCTTTGTTTGGTTTTTTGTTTATAGTAGAAGCGATAATCTAAAATCTAAGAGATAGGGTGTTTCTCACACTTACACACTATCAAGGTGCTACGGGGATTCTGAGACCACTGGTCTCCTTATTAGTGCACATTACATGGTGACCGATATTTATTTCTTAACGGCATAGATTTTGACTAGCATATGCAAAATTATTTCTCTAAGAAATTAGTACCAAGTCCCCTTATCTAGATTAAGTGTTCCAACACTTTTTTGAATATAGATTTATGCCCATAATCCAAGTTCCACAACTCATTCTTGTGGTGTGGGTCATATGTTAAATGAGGTGACGAAATTTTACTGTTACCAATCTCAATCGAAATCGAAATTTTCGTCTAATATTATTCATGTGCTCATCAGGTACACAGATAAAATTGTCATTTCAAGCAATAAACTCTCATTTGACCTATAAATCAAGCATTACAACACTGCACATGTGAGTACCAAGTACAACTATAATGAAATTTCAATTTGGACTGAGAATGGTAACATGATTAACATTAACATATGACACACACAGATACATGTATGAGTAATCCAATTTAACATTAGGATCAGATATCTAATTACACTGATTTCTTTTATTTCTTTTTCCACAGAGCCAATTCTGCATGGCACAGAAACGATGATTCACAAGCAAGGACCAATGAATGGCCTTCGGAACATGGTTGGTGGCATTGCGTGATTGAAGAAAGGCCTTTCACATGCGTGGAAGTGCGTGCAGAGAGGCTAGTATATATAAATTGATGTCCAATAGTAAGCCATTTCCAATATATTAGAAGATTACACAAAATTTCGCATCTATTTTGAAATCATAAATTGATCTCCAACAGTCATTTGCACTAAAAGAGACCAGAATCAATTGCATACAAATTCTCAGTATCGCATATGACAGCTTTACCTTTGCATTTTGTAAACTGGAGTGCCTTTCCATAGCCATAGATATAAGCTAGCGACCTCCAAGCTTGGGGCACCCCTCAGCAAGAGGTAAATCCAAGTTTTCAACAGTTCTAAACGTTCTAGGGACCATCTTATCCACATAAAGAGTTCCCTCCAAATGATCACACTCATGCTGCAAAATCCGAGCCTGCCAACCTGAAGCACTTATTTTGATGGGCTGGCCATTTCGATCAAAACCTGAAACCTCAACATCAAGGTTTCGCTCCACCACTGCTCTGAATCCATCAACACTGCAAAACATCACGGTGAAAGAAGAAATTACCAACCTTAGATAATTTGAATTTTCATGGACATCATCATCAAGGTCTAACTCACATGCAAATATTTCTTAAGTAAGTTGAGCACCCTACACAAACAAAAGAAACAAGGATACCAAGATGATGATCCTATGTTCGTTTTGCTATGTCCCAATGATGGAGATCCGCAAAGAAAACGGTGATTGCCAAAAGAAACTACTGAATAACTTAATAACACAACGCATATATTGCTCATCATTTGATGTGGTCTTTTGTAGTCTCTTGCAATTCCTAGTTTTAAAATTTCAACCATTGAGATTAAAACTATTTACAAAATGAGGAATGTTGATAATGCAGTAGCATCATGTTTCCTATCAGTTTGTGAACTAGATATAATTCTGTAATCCAGGGACTCAAGGAAGAATAGGGCATCAAGGAAGACTCTGTTCTCCTCAATGGGGATGATTCATTGACCTTATGTTCCAAACTTAATTATAGATTTAGCTCGTTTCTGGCCAACAAAGAAAACCAGTTGTGTCCCTTACCTTAAGCACCCTTCAAAGAATACTGCAGTCCTGTTGCTCTTCTTTTGAAGCTTTGGGTTAAGAATCACCTGCCTCAAAAACAACAAAAATAAGTTGTACTGGTCAAGTGAAACCTTTTCACTGCTAAGAATTAATATGTTATGAGGATGTTCACTCTCACACGCATTATTAACATACCAAAAGATCAAAAGGCCGTCTATCTTGAGCGGCAGTCTCTTCCTTGGGTGCATAACTAATATATTCCTTTGTATCTTCCAAAACTATTATCTGCAGAGATGAGAAAGAAATTTTGTTACCTGAATTAAGAAGTTGTTTTGTTAAATGCAAGGATTTCATTAAAGGGACTGATCAAATTTTAATCTTCAACAAGAATTAAAGACTCTTGTTATTGTAACAATCCACAACCCCCATTACCCATATACAAGTTACAAGCTAAGCAATAAGTTGCACTAAAATAAAAACAGTTACTTGTAAAAAAAACATAATATTGACATCAGTAAATTCAGCAATGTAGCTTGAATTGAACTAAGATTTGACTATTTAAAAGGTCTATCTACTGTTTAAAGTTAACCCTTCCCAGAAACCAACACAAGGGGAAAAAAGAAAGCTACAATTTTGCTCCTTCACCGAATTTTCTCAGCAGCCAAACAAAAACAAATGATAAAACAGAGAAAGAACTATCCAAAATTGAGCCATTAAGGTGAAAAAACTAAACTGAAAACCCCAAAACTGACCCTCAAGGGAATTCCAATTTGCGGAGCAGCAAGACCGACCCCAGGAGCCTTCCTCATCACCTTCACCATATCATCAATTATCTTCTGGATCCTCTCCGACCCAATATCCCCTGGCTCAACATCTCGGGCCGGTTCGTGCAAAACCGGGTCACCCGCTTTCACTATATCGGGCAAGCTCGTGCTTTTCTTCTTCTCTCCCAGACCCAGAAGCCAACCCGCTTTGGCAACTGGAGAAGAGCCTGAGCTGTAGCTTTTCCGGGTCGGGAAATGTGTGTTAAAGGCCGGTTCCGGGTTTTGAGGTCCGGGGTTCAAAAAGTGTATTCGGGTTTTCCGAAATATCGGGGTGATTGATCTGGGTTGGAGGCATTTTTCGGCGAAAGATATCGGGGCGAGACGAAGTGAGAATCGGTATATGGTTTCCATAGCCGTAGTCTGGATTTGCAGGACAGGGTTTAAGGAAGTTGGGAAGGAGATGGTGTCGTCCGCTGCTTAAATCAAACGACAGAATGCATGTCGTCGTCGCTCTGGCACTTAACGACAACGAAAGTGGTGTTCACACCAAGCATATTCTTTTCTTCTTCTGTTTTTCAAGGCTTTTTATCACAAATAGTTACTCCCGTTCGCGAAATTAGAGAGTTAATCATATATATATTTCAAGGCTTTCTTATGACTATTGTAAATGTAAAAATTGATATATCATCCTCCATCCTCATAGTGTCTGTTTGTGATGCTTGCACCACCTCCCTTTTGGTTTCTTGGTGTTTGATTCTTTGGGCTTTAGGTTGTTACTAGAAGTGTATTAAATTAAATGGTATTTTAAACCTTGTCAACAAAGATAATTTATATTTGCCCAAAAAATAAATAAAAGATAACTTATACTTGTCTTACCTATTCGCGCGGCTATACTCTTTAAATATATGCGAGTTCGGATTACTGTGTACTCTATGGTGCATTGGCGGATTTGGGTTCGATAAAGCTAGTAAACCTCGAGTGGTTGTCCTTGTGATGTTGTGTATCTGTGTTTTGGGGAGAGTTTGGGTCATGGTGGCAAATTTGTGAGTCTTATGTGTAACATTGTGCTTTTTGTGTGGTGACAGTGTCCCGCCTCAATATTGACCGTAGTGTCGTCGGCCTTGTCCTTACATCTGGTGTGCTTAGGCTAGGGTTTGACAAAACCTATGCTTTAGGTGGTCATATATAAGGCTCTCACTATAGAATTCTTGTTTACAAGTCATTCTATAGTGAGGGCTTTATATATGGCCCTTAGGTGTGGTTCTATATCTTAATCATTAGATCATGCTAACCAATTTGATTCAACGGTTAACTAATTTGTTCCAACGGTTAAGAAATAAGGTCTCACCTAAAGACCATATATAAGGCCCTCACTATATAATTCTTGTTGGCATTTATGCCTGGTTTTGGGCTTTGTTTGGTTTTGGGGCAGGCCTATGGGCTATGTGTGTTGCTTTGCTAGGCTTATTGTTTTGAGCCTACCTTTGTGTAACTGCCATTGTGTTCTTTTCCTCTTTTAATGGAATTATCTTTCAGACCCAAAAAAAAAATAGCGATATGAACTTCCCTTTTATATATGTAAGAAACATTTTCTTAGCAACTTACAAAGGAAAATGATAGAACCAAACCGATCACCAAATGGACTTGGAATAATGTACGCATGTTTGGAAAAGAAATTGGGTACATGTGCATGCATGAGTGTAATTAGAGAACAAAAATATATGGTGATGAGCTCAAAAATTGCATAATTTTTTTTGACATAGCACCGTGAGAAACCATTGATATAACAGTGATCAATTCCGACATTTGATGGTTGTACATATGTGATAGATATACACAAGGAATATGTAACGTGCTTGATAAGGTCTTGTGTTAATATCTCTTCATGCATTTTATTTTGTATGAAGTCATTGAAATGTGCTTATTCTCCTATCAAACCCAAGTTTTGAAATTCACCTCAAAGTATTTGTTAGATAAGATGCTCCGGTTAAGAATTTTTCTATCCTATCTTCCTAAAAAAAGAATTGGTCAAATGCCTTTATCCAAACCAAATCGACTAAATCCTCAACTCCTATCTTGTTCTCTGTGTTTTTTGGTCCACCGGCGTAATAATGCTTTTGTTTCTTCTTCCTTTGGCTTTGTTCTTATTTGTTTCCCTTTGGCCTTCCTAAAGCAAAAATGTATTCTCTTGTCACTTCCATCCGATCCAAACCCACTCCTTTGCCATCCCTAAGGTTTATTTAGGTCACCCATATCATATGGATGCCAACCTGCCATACCTTCTCAATTAATCGCAGGCATGTGCAATGTACTTAAATTTCATTTTTTATTTTGATAATGGAGGAGCGGCCGGGTTTTCTCACGTACACACTACCAATGTGTCATGGAAGTTTGAGCATGAGATCACCAGTATGCAAATCAAAGCCTTTTCCACTAAATTAGACCCGTTGGCAATTTTATTATTATTCTTACACACAACGTGTGCATCCTGCGTACCTCCATAGATGGGCAGAGTTAGGTACAGATGCCATACTATTCTTTATTACAACAAGTCATGAGTCACGAAGCTTCTTCCTCCCTCCTCTTTCTACTTGATCCAATAATACAGAAAGAAAGGAGAGGAGAAACAAACACATAATTGCATCCCAAGGTATTACATAATTTCTTGATTCAACAATTATGGCGCCTAATAATAAGGCATCTTTCGGCCTTAACAACCCTTGACTTAAGCCGCAAATTATTTCAAAGGTCCACTCACATGCGTGTAGCTTAATAACTACAAAATAAATATATACATCAAATCTTTACAGGAAAGATGGTCAATTTTCGCATCTATATGATTAAGCCAAACCCCTTTTCAAAATTCGATGAAACAACTGCCGCTTTCAATATCAATATAAACTTCTTAGTTGTATTTCCTTGACCAAACTAGAAAGTCAGAACCTTGAAATCTTAAACTGATCATGGAGAAATAATTGACATTATCCTTGTTGTATTTTTTTGGGTAACTTTTAACTTAGAAGAGGATCTTTTATTAATTAGCATCTTGCTAAAAAAAATAGAAGAAAAAAAGAATATAATAAACTGTAGCACTTTGTTTCCCATATAAATATGGAAGCAAAGGAGCTCAGAAAGCTCATCTTTTGTGAATAGTTCTTGGATTGGAGAAAACTGAAGAGAAGCAGCAACCATGAAGAAGAGCACCATGTCTCCGGTAATTGTCGACGAGAAAGACGAAGCCAAAAGCTTTAGAGTGGAGAAAGTTGGAGCTTCCAGGTCTCATGCTATGGAAAATGGCAAAGAGGAAGCACCAAAGAATAAGCTAGAGAGGAAGTCAACTGAAGACATCAACGAAAGCGCAGAGGCGTTCATCAAGAAGTTCAGGAAGCAGCTTTTGATCCAAAGGCTTGAGTCGATTGAGAATTATGAGCAAATGCTTGCAAGGGGCCTCTAACTGATGTACTCTTCCTCCATTCTTTACTTGCACTATATTGTCATAATGTTATGCACGTATTAAATTATATATGAGATTGTTTATTTATTTGTTCTTGTTGCTTGATCACTTGCTTGTTCCCACTGGATATGAAGGTTTAGAGGGATAAGCATATGAAACAATGTTTGAGATTGCTTTTGGAAAAATTAAAATCGCGCTTCTCGCAGGTGTTAGGCATTAAAACTAAAAAGTGCTTCTAGGTGGTAATAGTGTGGTTATGGAGAGTTTGTCAGATTAATTATCTTAAGCAAATCTCTAATTAAAGGCAAAACCAACTGATCAAGGCTAATCTTTCTCATAGTCAGAAATTTCATTTCATGTCTTATGTCCTTTGGCAAATGAGAGCCCAAATTTTTTGGGACTAACCAAAAAAGACAAAACGGCACATGCATGTTACCCAAAAAAAAACAGAGCACATGCATGTTGACTTATGGCACCCTGCGCTGTATACATGGATAGCATTATCCTAATTCAGATGCGTAAAAATTTAGATCTTGAAATGAAAACTAGTTTCTCCCAATGTATTGGCTTTTGTAACTTTGCATGGGGACACATATGTAAGATCAATTTCTTAATGTGGTTAGATTGTTTATCTCCATATATGTGATAATGTCAAGGGGAAGAAGGCACACTATTGGCATGTTTGAGTAATGGATATCAGAATCATTCAAATTATTATTATTATTTTTTTGGGTTTACTAGCACATGGGTATTGGAATGATTCCAATTCCTTACTTTCCCCGTATTTACTTACACCTAAGAAAACCAAATCAACTAAGGGGAGTAGTTGATCTGATTCCAATTTCTTATTCACTTATTCTTAAATTCCCCAATTCATGAGTTCTCTCATTTCTTAAAACTAAACCTGAGAAATCTATAGATGTATTGTCACCACGACGCGTATCCTCGTTTGTAAACGTTGATCATATCCTCTCTAGGAAGTGGTAACTTATATAGTCTTTATCCTTTCATGAAAAAAAAGGTATTCCCTTTGGCCCTATTGATAGTTTACAACTCTTATGATACGTTCTACATCTTATCAGACCCTTTAGTTATGTGTATGCTAGTACACCAATGTTATGGTGTACCTCATACATCAAATACACACATAGTGAAGTCATTTGTCATCATGATCATATATAGTCCTATATCTCACACATGATCCTGATGATGTAAGAAATCACTAGCTAGGTAGCTAATTGGCTTGCAATCTTATCTTTTAAGGATTTTCTTTAGATAGTTGTGTTGATATAAATAAATACATCGATGCTAAATATAGATAGTTGTGTTGATATAAATAAATACATCGATGCTAAATATAGATGTTCGAATCCGTAATATTCCTAAAAGTATAAGATACGAAGCCCATATCTTTCATTTCGAATTTAATCCTAGATATGGTTTTGTTTCTTCAATCATATCTATTGAAGAGCCACAATTTGCCAGTCCGGGCGAATTTTAACTATTCTTAAGCCCATATTCCCTCAAAAACAAACACCTGGTGTCTCTGTTTTTTCTTTTCTTACTTCTCATTTAAGGTGAAGATGCAAATTTTGACTTGTCTTATCTTGTGAGAAGTAGTGCTGATTAACGGGTATCATGAGGCTGTGGACTCCAATCAAAAGGCATCTGCAGTTTCTGTGCAGGATGTATGGGATCTGCAAGGATTGTGGATGGCAGCAAAGCAGCGATGGAGTTGCCATTCTTTCATAGGTTTTCATGAAATGGCATGTTTGTTTCTCCAAAAAAAAAATATATAGCAACTAAAACACTAACCATGTGTGACGTTATTCCCACTCAATTACGGCTCACATCCACCCCTATAACTTTTTTAACTACAACTTTTTCCAATAATAAAATTAACGAAACAGATATTAAATGAAAAACAAGAAGTTTAGATTTACACATTGTAGATCCTTTGAGTGGTTTGTTGGATAGGAAAAATTATGGTGTGTGATGATGCTAGAACACGTGGCACACCAATATTCGTGTGTGTTTTAAGTTCACATAAATTATAGAATATTAGGTAAATTTAAAGTTTATACCGTCTAAAATTTAAAATGTTATAATTTAAGCGGACTCGTAAATTATTCGCCATACTTAGTGGTCACCTGAGGCATTGCTCTCTCATAAAGACCAGTCGGTATCCATCGTGCGACTGCATTTTCAGCTTGATCTGAAAGAACAATAAAGTTAAGTGAAAGGTAATTAGCGAGCATCGATTGATTTGGTGGATTGAAAACAACAAGTTTTTTCCCTTTTTATCTTCGTGAAAGTTGAAAAGATGTGAATGAGTGGAGTGAGTGAGTAAAGTAGGTCGTGTCCCTTTAGTACCTTTTTATCATTGTTTTTTTAATTAAAAAAATCACAAAGTTAGGAGAAAAAACCTCCCTCACAAAACCCTAAGAAAAGAGAACTCCAGCCAACCCCTCGGCAGCCTTCCTTTCCTCTCATCCTCTTTTCATCCCCTCTTTTTATCTTTTATTTTGCTTTGTTATTTTATGTTGTGGTGTAGAACAAACTGTAAGAAGCTGTGATAGTTGTCGTCTTTTGGCCCACATACACAAGGATTTGACTCCAGTTATCAACCTTCAACATGAGTTCGGAGTTGCAATGACAGGAAGATGTCGGGTTGCGTTGTGTTCGAGTTTAACCAGTACGACACTATGAGTCTAGCTATATGGCGCTATGGCTCTCTTCGGGTTACTGGGAAGAATGAGGAGCAGTGATCCTGCTTCTTAATTTGTTTGTATAATAATTTTCAGGAACTCTTTAGGAGTTTATTATTGTTTGTTAGTTTTATTTATTTCTAGTTTTCGACTTTCAATATGAATCTTCCATTTCTACCGACGGATTTGTATTATAGATTTGAATATGCGTGCGTTTGGTTGCTAAATTAGAAATTTTAATCAATTTGTGGGTTGTGCATGATTCTTTTCGGATCAATTCAACTTCTTGTTTCGTGAGGTCATTCAAAAAAACTTATCCATATTTGATGACTTTGTACCTATTTCCGTTCCTCTTATCAATAAAATACTGTCGCTCTATATTAAAAATAAATGATTTGTAGAATCAACTTGATTGAACTTCTTCTCAACAAATGAGTTGTGGTAGGGCCGAATTCAGAAACAGAGTACTGCAAAGCTGAATATGAAAAAGAAAATATAATCAAACCAAGTACAAAAGCTCAATCAAATATTACTATATTATATTGCTAAAAAGGACAGGAACCAAGTCCTACCTCTCAGAACACGACAACATCTGATGATGCCATCACCATAAAAAGAAAATTGAAGTGTTCTCTTCAAAGTAACCCAAGTATCTCCATCCCCAACTCAACTCAGCACAAAATACATGCAGGCCAGCTCAGAAGATTCCCACACTTGAGAGCCAAAAACAAACCACCTTCAATTTGGATGAAGATTTTCATTTCTCAACATTAATTAAAGTGTTATTACAAAAGCCACATAATAATGACGCATAGAGCACAAATCGACTTAGTAGTAGTAGTTTCTTCCTTCCTCTTCCTCTCATAAATCTTATTGACACATACAATTAGCCCGTACATCTATTGCTGCAACAATCTTAGCTGCTGCTGCAACAAAGGCAGATTTACGAGGGAGCATGACCGGGCTATCTCCCCGGCGATGGGGATCACTGGGAGGTTGTCGCAGTCGCATATTTCGATCATGAAGCCATCCGGGTCGTGGAAGAACAATTGATCAACGTGGATGCCACCTTCCTCCACCATGGATCGCTTGTACTTGAGCTCCATCTCCTTGAGTTTCTTCTCCACAGCCCCCATGCTCTCACACTAAGGCATGACAAATTAAAAATAAGTTGCAATAATACACAGGAAAGCAAATCAATGATCTCATATCTTCTCTCATCGTATCTATCAAATCCAAGACAAATCTTAGGATGATTTGTTTGTGTTTCTTCTCAAACGGGGGAGTTAAGTAATAGTCGTATAATATTGACTCTTTGGCATGTTAGGCATGCGTTGTCAAATAAGAACCTAATAATAATTGATCAGATTGAAAGTGGCACGTTAGGGATGTTACTTGTCAGCTGGAGCCAGCCTTATTGTCTTTGTCTATGTTTTTTAGTTGCATTTTTGTCGTCATTAGTTGCAACGTAATAGCACTATTTTGTTATACGCAATCAATAATATTATGCTAGGTGAAAGTGTTGTCACTTGTGTCGACAACATTATTGGTTTAGAATAACAAAATAATGATATTCCCGTTTCATGGAAGCCTTTCTGCTCATTAGGACCCAAAAGAATTTAGAAACATATATATAATATAATAAATATTATTTTTGGCCATTGAAAAGGAAATCATTGAAAAATGAAGAAGTGGAGAAACCAAGGTTAGAAAACACTAGAAGCAAACAATACGAATTTAAGATAAGCTCCAAATACAAAGATTATCAAGTCGTACTCAAAAACAAGGGAATTTAAATCCCAGAAGAATTCAAAGCTATCTATATGGATTTTTTTAATTAAAAAAACATAATTACCTGGAAAGAAATATGATTATCCTTGGGATTAATCTCAGTTTTCTTGGGCATGCTCTCCGGGTCCTCAGATTGCAAAAGATGAATTCCAATCCCATATCCAAATAGCCTACAACACACAAAATAAACTTGCATTCATTATCAAAACCTCATAAAGATTTAAACCAAAAATAATAATTTATTGGGTTTTAAAATTAAAAAATAAAAAATAATTCCCATCAACCCGAGTTCATTAATTACTAGTGAAGCTTACCATGCACCATCAAAATTAAAAGATCCAGGCCTCCTGATTGGGACAAACCCAAGAACATTCTGGTAAAAATCAATGGATTGCTCAACCGATCGGCAGATGAGTGAGATGTGGTTCAAAGATTTCAGATGCAGAGGGTTTCCCATGGTTTCCTTCATGGTGTTGAAGATGATGATGATTAAAAAAAAAAAAAAAAAGGCTTCAAACTACGATCAGAAAATGAATAAAAAAGACAACGAAAATCTTAGAAAATCTTTGAGGAAGTTGAGTTTGTCACCGAAAGAAAACGGGACCTCTCTTTATATAAGGAAGTTGACGGAGCTTCATGGCTGCCACGTGTCCATCCATGCAACGTGTCGGATAGCCATGACTCTAACACGTAGATTCCACGTTGCTGATGACTGGGATCACGAGCACTATAGAGACAACAAATATATGGGTGCCGGGCACGTAAGCAGCCCAATATTTTATTATTATTCTTGCTCTTGGTGAAATGTATTATACAAATTTATAAAAAAACCCAATCATAAGCATGTATTTATAAAAAAACTCAAATACTATTTAAACATAGAAATACACCTAAAATCAACTTTTTGAGTGTGTAATGATGGGTTTTGGGTATGTTTCTATGTTTAAATAGTGTTTGGTTTTTTTATCATTTCAACTCCTATTTTGAGTATTTTAGTGAAACTTCGAGGAGCTTTCGTGCTGGTCCCACTTCTCAGTGGAAAATTGAAATGGGTTTCTTTAAGAGTCTTCATTTCGGTGTCAATTTCTAAAGCGAGAAAAAAAGTTGAAACGAATCGGATCATGCATAGATAAATGACAAAATTGATCTTGCTGGGGGATGTTGGTCTCTGTTGGTCTGCCACATTATATTTTTTATTTAATTTTTATTTATCTATTTGGCTTTAGTACAAGTTTGTGTAAATTTAAAACATGTGAATTGAACAGTCAACTTTCTTTCTTCCTCAATAATGATAGGCGAAATTTAACACATCTTTCAATGAAGTGGAGATAAATATTATTATATTAAAAATTAGTTTGTTATTATGAATCACCCTATTAATGGTATCTTGTACGTACTCTTATAGTAACTGAACTTCTTTTAATATAAAGAGGTTGCAGCTTTGATGACTGAATTTGACAAGATTTTTGGAGAGGGTTTTGAGAACGTAGCTCACTTATTTTAGCATTTTAAAGCTGTTGAAGATACTGTTGGAGATGCTATTTTTTATATCCATTTTAGGTCAAAATAAAAAAACACATGAGTAAAAGGGGTGGCAATATGCCGCGTAACAGGAATCTAATATGATATTCACTCATTAATTGGACGACATAAATAAATTCAACCAAATTAAGTTTTTTCTGGCTCAAGAAAAATGGGATGATTAATGAACGAAAATTGGAAGGCCAATCGAAACTCTCTTTGCTAACTTTTAAACATGTGTCACATTCATTTGGATGTGACTGGAACTCCACCCACTGATTTAGATTCACAAGTTGAGCATGAACAGAGTCTCTAACTTGCATACGTTGTTGTGTATTTCCATTTTGACTGTGGATATGAAGCGTCCGCATTTGGACCACCAACTAGGTTTTCAAGTTGATCACAAAAGTTGGAACTTGATGGTGTTTTTATTTCAAATTTCCTAGGAGTGGTCCATGTGACTTTCTGTGTCCTTGGCCATAGAGCTCCGAAATGAGAAGAGAATTGAAAGTAGACAACAAGGGACCTGGTAGGAAACAACTGGATTATTACATAATAAATAATAAATCTTTTCTAAATTTAATTGATAGAAAATTACCACATGTATCTCTAATTGATGATGAACAGTATTGTTTCAAAATATATAATGAACTTTTGTAACTTTGTTTATTTTAGTCAAAGAAAAACTTTATCAGTGCAATCAAATCAAGTTAAAACTAAAAAAGAAACTAAGCAAAAACCAGGCCATTTTTGGTATACACATTATTTCGGGTAAGGTTTGAGATGAACTTGGATTTTAAGAGCAAAAGCTTGGCTGAAATTGATAAGTGTGTCAAAATTCCATTTGTTTTGAGAAAGAGCAAAGCTTATCGGCCTATCTTATAAACTAAAATTTAAAATTATGATTTCTTGTGTATAAACCAAACCTATATGTCACTCTCCACCTACTATGACTTGTATAAAAACCATATTATGGTTCATGTATATTTGTTTAATTAAAAAAATTTGCTACCAATTAGCATGATTTTCTCGCATAATACAAAACTTGATCACGAGGCTAACTCCCAATTAGGTTCGGTTGACAAGGCATCCATTATGCATAGTTGTTTTTGTTGAATTTTCAATGGAACATGATGGTTTCAAATCAAAATTACTCGATTTTATTCCAGGTTTCTAAGTGACTGTCAAGTCGGCCATCCTTTTGTAGAAAAAGTGTAGACTATGTAGGTGTAGCAAGAAGAAGTGACAAAAACATAATCAACATGAACCCTAAAATAGTTGATAAGATTTTTGAGTCAGATGGCAACATGTTGAGGGAACATGCATGCATCACAGGAGGTTAGGTTGGATCCCGCTGTTTCAAATGACGTAAGTGGAAAATACCTCAAGGGGATGGAAAATTAATTTTATATATCCCTAAATAATGCCTCATGACCCTAATATGATCTGTAATTATGTTTACCTGAAGTGTAAAGTGGAGATAAAAGGGACTTATAATTCAAGTCAAGTGGTTAAGAAAATTTACTCGGCACCTAAGGTCATAGGTTCGATTTCAGTATTCATAGTATCACTTGTATTGGAATAGGAAATAGGATACCAACTCAAAAGTAATTAGGGATAAATTGATATATTTATTCTTCTCTCACGAAGGGAGATATATACTTACATACAGAGATAATACAAATAGGAAATATATACAATATCTACTAATTCTACTCAAATTAGGTAATTACAATAAAATACAAATAATTACAAAATCTATTCCTAAAAGGAATAGTTGACTAATGCCAACATTTTCCTTCAAGTGGGTGCATAGATATCGGTAATGCTCAACTTGTCAAATGAGTTTTCGAATCGTCACTTTGACATGACATGGGTCAACATATATCTGCAAGCTGTTCCGAACAAGACACAAATGGTATAGCAATTAACTTATGCTCCATCTTCTCCTTTAATGAAATGGTGATAAACGTCTACATGTTTAGTTCGATCATATTGCCCCTGATTGTTAGCTAAATCGAATGCACATTGCTATCACAATGGAGCTTTGTAGCAATTCTCTGTTTAAACCCAATTTCAGTAAGTAACCACCTCAACCATAGTATTTCACAAATCCCTTGGGCAATCCCTATGTACTCACACTCTGCAAAAAACCGAGATACAACATTTTGTTTCTTGCAATGCCACGTAACTAAGTTACTGCCAACAAAGGTGAAGTAACGTGATGTAGAACACTTATATGTAATGTTCCCTATATAATCTACACCAGTGTAACCTTCTATATCCAAGTGACCATGCTTTTTAAATATAAACCCCTTCCAGAAGCAGACGTTAAGTAACTCAGAATACATATCATAGCAGCCATATGATCCTCAGTAGGTGAATGCATAAATTGGCTAGCAACACTTACCGCATAGGCAATGTCAAGACGTGTAAGTGATAAATAGATAAATCTCCCAACCGACCTCTGATATCTCTCCTTGTTAGTTGGAACCGATTCAAAACTAAAAAATATATATACAAAATCTTCTAATTTTACTCAAATTAAGTAATTACAATAAAATACATTAATTACAAAATCTATTCGTAGTAGAAATAGTTGATTCACGCCAACAAATTTCCTCAAATGTCATGTTGAAGATTATGGTTCTGTCGGCATATATTTCATATATATACCAATTATCCTCAAATCTCATTTGCTTACGCAACATGAATCTCTCCTCATTCTTCTTTTCTGAACAGGATCGTAATTGGATCAATCACCTTCTTCTACTAAAACTCCACTAAAATTTTACAGTAGAGACAACTGCAGCCGCCCCTTCCTTTTCTCTTTGTCTCTGACATCACCACGCGGGCACATATAAAGGGCATGTGGCCTACTTGCCTCTACATAAAATAATATCACCGGCTTTATGCGACAACAATGGGTTGCATAAATAATAAAGCACCCAATAAAGAAAATGATCTGCATGCATTTCACGTTTATTTTATACTTGTGTTGTGGGTTATTAATTGTTTTAAATTTTGGTAGGGCGCAGCTTTGTGTTTTGGAATCCTTGCGGTGACACTTTTGTGATTCATATATTAATGTTGTTGAGTGGGTTTAATATGAGTGATCCAGTTAGCATGTCAAACGTATGTGAAAAAACAAAACCAGAGAGAGAAAAAAAAAACACAAGTTTTGGCATGATGTAAAATTTTGTAGTGTTGACTATGAGTTTTTAATTACATAGGCAAGACCACTTCTGGGAATATTCAAGTAAGGTAGGTATCCGCTTCGAGGCTCCGATTTTTCTCCGGTATAGAATTCCAACTAAAATATATGAAAGTGTTCTCGATCAAACTATCGGATGGGCATGTTTCGTTACATTGGATTGGATATTTTATATATTTAAAGCATGTTTAAGGAAGAAATCAATTTTTTATTTTTATTTTTTATAATCTAGTTGAAGATAGAAGATAAATAACTCATGAAAAAAACTTATTCAATCTAACCCTCATAAAGTGGTAGGATAACAGTAACTTATAACTAATCCTTCCTAATCCGCCCAGCATAAAAAGTCATTCGCCTCTACTTTCATTTTCTCCTCCAATATTAAGTACCAAACAGGTACGATTGTACGTTTGAATGATTGATCAAATAAATGGGAGACTTTGGAAAAACACAAAGGAGAGAGAAATTTTGTAAAAGAAGCCAAAATGGACAAAATTGCCCATATTTATTTTTGGATTTCCTAAGAAATCCTTTACATTTGCATGTCTTTGATTTGAAAGTTGAGAGGTTTTTACGTATTTTTTGAAAAAGTTTTGGCTTTTTCCAAAAATGAAATTTTTTTTTTGGTTAAATCCTAAATTTACTTAAATTTTATTTCAATCACTATATGAGAGGAGACATATCATGCCATATCGGACGAAGACAACATTAAAAGAGAGTCTCAATCCAAGTCCAATTTAACGAACCATTTATTGGTACTCACCACCCACTAATCTTGTATTCGTACAAGATTAACTTTTATCCTTTTGAGTTAATATATCTTAACGATTTCTTGCTACTTTAATTTATATATAAGAAAATTTTAACTGATTAGTTTTTAAAATCTATATCCAAAAAAGTTAACTTTGTAGTGGTACTTATATTTATTCTATTACTCTATCGGAAGGGGATTCAAACTTGAGTGCAAGGAAACGGGCTCACTGTCCTAACCAACTAACCTAATCTAGGTACTTTATCTAATCGAATTGGGGATCAGGTTTTACACCTGGGTTATATTAAATATATATTAACAAGTACTTAATATACTTCTTTGATTATTTAATGAAGTCACCGAATTTTTCTCAATACATGATAAAGTTATATTATTTTTGTAAGTAGGTATGATAATTTATTTAAGACTTGGCAACATGTCCAAAAACATCTCCAGTGGAGCAGTGCAAACTGGTCACAGGTGTGATGTCGAAAGCAACCAACGTTATGAATTATGATAACGTTTGTCCTAAAGCTTGTAAAGTTTATAAAATTTTAATCAGAGTTGGTAAATTCGTACACATGCTGGGACTGAAAGTGACCATGCTTTGGCATGCACGATAAAGCCCTCAGCTTTTGCTTGCTAATCCATGTCAACCTGCACCACTGTTCTACAGCTTATACATTAATAACGCACCAAGTGCAGCATGCGCATGCAATTTGCAAATATTAGAAAAATATTAATTAGTTCTTTCTCAGGTGCAAACCAGCTAGCTGGTAGACTTCTTGCAAGAATAAATATATTAAACCAGAAAGAGAGAGGAAGGAAATAAAATAAACAGAAAGGTGTTTTGCTTGCTCTGTGGTTGGTTGACAGTATGATTTTCACCAACAAAAGCTCTCAAAAGGTTCTTTCTTTTTATGTCTCAAGAGACGAGGGTGCTCTGGGCTTTGAGGGTCTGTTTTAAGGGCTAACTATTTCTTGGGATGAAGGCTTCAAGACTCAAGAGAGCCACCCTCTTTTCAGTCTTATGAAGTAGTATAAGGAGTTGATCAAGAATTTTATAGTGAGGGCCTTATATGACCCTTAGGTGAGGTCATATTTCTTAGCCATTAGATCAAATTGGTTAGGATGATCGTACGATTATGAGATATGACCTCACCTAAGGGCCATATATAAGACCCTCACTATAGAATGTCTCATGAGTTGATTTGCCGTGACTGGGCTTACTCGATGACCTATTTTACCAAGGAAAAGAATTTTGTTGCAGACCAGTTTGCCCAATTGGGTAATGCTCTCAGTTTGGGCTGTCATATTCTTGCATATTTCCTCTACCTCTTTTTTGTTTTTTTGTTTTTTTGTTTTTTTTTTTGTTTTTTTGATTTTTTGCGAAAAAGATGTAATATTATTGATAAACACAATCAATTACGGAGAGTTGAAAGTGTTGGTACCCAAAATGTCAATGGGGCCTACTCATGAGAGCCTAAAAATAACTTAGGCCTAGACCACTTGAGGAAGTGGTTGGACTCCATCCAGACACTAAAAATCCAAACCCTAAGTTCATCCAAAGCCCAACCGAGATAGGGAATGGCCGTCAGGCCCGTAAAGTGACCCTCTCTCTCGAAGGATCCAATGACACCAAGAGCCAAGCCCAAACAGGAAGTGAACACGTGCCAAAATTCCCCCAACCCGACGCTGTGTCATTGTGGGGGCCATCTTAAGAATGAGCCCAAACTTCGACGGTTGAAATGTCGTTACTTCAATAATTGCATTAATTATTTCACACATTTTAACAAGAAGTTAAATGAAATAAGAGTTGCACAGAACCAATTTCCCCAAACATATTATATATTATTCATAAATAATTTTCAAAGTTTAATTGAACAGTTGAAAGAAAATCTTAATAATTAACGTACCTAATCTTGACAGACATGGTTAAATACTTGGCTAATTAATGTTTTATGACTTTGGAGTTGTGTAATGCAGTTTTTGCTTTTATAATTAAACACATAATTTATTTTTGAGGATCTTTCCTATTGAGAGAGGCGATAGTATACTAAACTCACACATATTACACGGATGCTAATACTCGAACTCGGTCACTTCAAAAAATTTCAAATAAGTGAGTACTTCCAATTTACCCAAAGAAATCAAATAAGAGAAGAGTATAAACAAAACTCCTATTGTGACAAAATGAACCTATTTTTTTGTATATATTTCAAGGTTTTAGTTTTTTAGTGTTCAGTGAGAATCGAGATTGAAATTTTGCACTGTCCAGAATGACACCCAAAAAAAAAAAAAAAAAAAAATTATGTGCTTTGAAGTATTGTACCGTGGGTACCGAATTGCTGTAATGCTTGTATCCTTATCGTTTCGGACCGAACCACTTTTTGTTACCTTAGGCCCATATATATATGAGAAATCAATTTTAGAAAGAGAAAAAACCGAGAGACTGATAAAAAGGGAATTTAGGGTTAGGGTTTTGGAAGCTGTTCACTTAATTGGCTCACTGCAATGGAGGAGATTACTGAGGGTGTGAACAACATCATCATCGCAGATTCACACAAGAAGAACCGAATTCAGGTCTCGAATACCAAAAAGCCCCTCTTCTTCTATGTTAATCTTGCCAAGGTAAACCCTTCTCCCAACCCTGTTCTTAATTCTCTGTCTTTGTACGGATATTTACATACGCATACATGTGTAGATATGCTTGTATGCCTAAATTGGTTCTGGGTTTTCTCTTCTTTCTTTTTTATAATGCCTGGCTTCTGCTGAAATTTGAGTTTGTTGGTTAACTTGCAAAATTAATCTTTACCTGGAAATAGAATGTTTTTGGTTGACATAAACGAAGCAGTTTTTTTTTTTTCCTCTTCTTTAAGTGTTTTGGGATTAATAATTTATTCTTATCAGTTCTTTTATTATTTGTATTCATCATGTTTCTGTCAATTGATTGTTTTGCAGAGGTATATGCAACAGTACAATGAGGTGGAGCTCTCTGCTTTAGGAATGGGTATGAAATCATTGAGCTGTTTCCATCTCATTAAGCTCTAAAACTTACGACTGTCTGTGTGTGTGTGTGTGTGTGGATCTCTGTGCGTGTGCTAGTGTGTGCCTTATTAATATGTTCTTGGATATGACGCTAAAATCACAGAACTGTTGACGTTCCTAATTAAGTTCTGGATAACTAATGAAACTTAATGTTAGGTCATTTGTATGGGTGTTCTTTGGGTTCATATATATTATTAAACAAGTTAACATTCTTGTTGTGGTTTCTATGCACAAGCTAACATTCCTGTTGTTTGATGTCTGTTGGTCATAGTGAATTAAAGCTGGGATCTATAGTGTGGATGTTACATTTGTTTAGCTTTGGAAAGAGAAAGTTTGCCAAGAGCCATTATGTCATAATAACTCTGTTTCTAGTAGTGAGAATTTGAATAAAATCTTGACGTGTTTCACAACTTCTAGAGTGTAGACTCTTGCATACATGTTCCAATGGGCGAGGATGAAGAAGTTCTCTTGTTTGTTGGTCCAGTTTGGTCATTGCTTAGGTTTCTTTGCTCATGTTTAATATGATGATTATTACAATTTTCTAGTAAATACGTCCTTACTATTTCAATATATACTCAAAGAAAGAGAACAAACTTTTAATAGGAAAACAAAGGCTTGTAGTAGAATTGTTCTAATTGGTAGTTGGAAGGGACAAATGGACAAGTGCTTAGTTAACAAGTAGAGGGGTTGCTCTAAGGTGCCGTCTGCTTTGCAGAATGGGATTCCAAGAATCCCATACCCATTACTGTTCCATGGGTTTATAGAAACCCATGACAGTAAGCTCCATTTCATTATTTGGCAACGTTGGAAGGGGAGATAGTTTTATGAAACCAATGAAATTCTTTAATGTTTTTAGAAGGCATAAATAGGTTCATTGTTGTTATTGTCATTTATTATGAAGTTTAAGCCAGTAGATGGGAGACCTGCCTGCTCCTTTTGGGAATGCAAAACCCCATTTTATGGGATTTGGACACCAATAGCAATGGGAACCTCCCCTCCTGTGTGCACTTATCAAACATGGGAAATGAATGTGATTCCGCGAAACAAACTTCTAACTAAGAATGTTGAAACTTAGGCAATTCTATAGTTTGAGGGAGCTAAGTTGCATTGAATATTGTAGTGTTTTATTATAGTTTGGATTTCTTTAGTATGAATGCTAATTCGCAGATTAATTCTCATTGTACCACTGCAGCTATTGCCACTGTTGTTACAATTGCAGAAATTCTGAAAAACAATGGGCTGGCCGTTGAGAAAAGTGAGGCTTCCATCTACTTCTATATCTTTCTGCAAAGCTACTATCATTATTCAATTTATATATTCTTGAATATCAATGCAGAAATCATGACATCAACTGTTGACATAAAGGATGATTCTAGAGGGAGACCAGTCCAGAAAGCCAAGGTATTTGAAGTTTTATTTCTATTAAAATGTTTTTTGAATCTTATCTTGAAATATGTCTAGCTTAGGTCTGTTAAAAAGAATGACTGAATGTTTATGTTAATGAAACGTTGGAGTTTTGCATGGAGAGATCCTTTTGCAATTATTGTTGCCCTACTTGATTGGTCTGATTCATGATAATAAGTATGGATTTATATTCTTGGGTTATCTGTCCTGGTAAAGGTTCCTACATGGAGGTTAAAAGTTTAGTGCACCAATAGTGTTATCATTTCATATGAACTTTATATGGTTATTTTCCTTTGCAGTTACTTTTTGACCATTTAGCAAAATTTCCTGGGTTCTTTTCAAAATTTATCTTCATATCCATTTAGTGTACGTCATTAGAGTATAATCTTGTTTTCTGAGGTCATCTCAACAAGAGTTCTACCATTTTGCGAGGGCTTCCAGCTCAAGAAGCATAGAACTTTACACCCCACATCCATGACAAGCGATTGAGTCTTGTCTTCCCTGTCCCCTAAATAAGAAATAACCTTGTGTTCCATTTTGTTTATATGTATTTATTGTTATTTTCTTTTGGTTTAGATTGAGATCATACTTGGGAAGTCGGAAAACTTTGATGATTTGATGGCCGCTGCAGCTGAGGAGAGGGAAATTGCAGGTGCTGAGGAGCCAAGCTGAAAGAAATTCCTTGTTTGAGGTTCCTCTTAGAGTGTGTTTAGCTTGAATTATGTACCCTAAACTTGATTATGGTAATAAATTTTTTGCAAAATATATTATCCAAGAATAGAATATGTTATGGGAAAGGCATTTGTTGTATGCTTATAACTTTTGTCTTCCGTTTTGTCTTAGGAGTGGGTGGGGTGTGGGGCTATCTGTTTCGTGAAAAAGATGGGACATGCCAAGTGTAATTGACCCTAAAGTTATTTAAAAGTTTAGATTAATTTCCCATTTGATTGGTAATAAGCTATTTGGCAAGACCTGAAACCATATGTTTCTATACTAAGCTTGTTATGGATGAAATTAATATTTTCAACAAACCAAATATATAGTATGCAACTCTTCCCCCCGTTATGCTGTGAAGAGGTTTTCCCTCCCAACTTTTGTTGGGTTTTGTTTGCTCTTTGCTGTTGCAAGGTTTGTTTCTTCCCTCTTTTCTTGAGGGTTTGTTTCCCAGTCTTTTGGGGCTGGTTTTTGGCTGATCTTGCTAGATCTGCTACTTGTGTGGTAGATCTAGTGTCGGTCTCACTGTTTTGGAGGTGGAGCTGCTGATTTTGGTGGATCTTCTTTTATTGTGCTTGGGAATCAAGGGGGATTAGGAGATGCTGTGATATTCTTTGGAATATCCTAGTGGAAGTTGAGCAGTAATGCCCTCCACTCTTGGGGTATTTCCTGTCCCATGAAGTTTGAGAGTTTGTTCTCTTTCTTGATCTCTCTTAAGCACTGGTTGCTGCAGAAATAGGATCCTCATCATCTGTAACTCCTTGTTAGCTGGGTTTAAAGTTGTATATTTATTTTCTAACTATCTTGTAATACTTGAGCTTAGTTGGTGGTGTTGTTACAATATGTATTGCAAGAACCTCCTTCCAGGACTCTGTTCTTATTGTTGTAATCTGGGTTTGTGCCCTGTTTCTTCAATTGAATTGTTACTGTTTCACCCAAAAAAAAAAGAAAAAAAAAAGTATGCATGCAAATTTGAACACTAAGTCCAAGTTATGTTGCTTTGAATTTGAATTTGTTTGGGTGGCTAAAGGTTTCTCAATCATATAAAATTAAGGACTTTGTTGGAATTATCTTTTCCATATTTCATGACGCTGCTTAATCAAAAAAGTTAAATTTGATTTCTGCAATTTCAACACTTAATAAAAAAAGTTAAACTTAACTCCCGCAATCTTCAACACTAAAGAAGTTGGACCGGATACAAAAACATTATACTAGTTTACTCCACCATCTCAAAATAGTTTAATTCCAAGTCTTTAATATTGTTCCCTGAAGTTTTCAAATACCTAGAAAAAGAAAAACAATGAAAATGTGACAATGTATGATTTCCAAATAGGTTTGAGAATATGTTAAGGGTTGCACATCACGAATCTTTAAACAAGATGGGAGTGAGGAATACCCTACGTGCTAAATTCAAAGGAACTAATAATTTGCATTTACATTTCCAAAAGTAGCATAACTAGACCATGAACTTTTCCTCTTAATCAAAATATATGCATTCTTGTCACAAACTAATTCACGCATCTAACCCAAGTTCATGAATATCATGCGACATCAATATTTCACACAATAAACATTCTAAGACTTCCATGATAATCATGAATTTTTATTTATTCTTATATAACTTCCATCAATATTTCACAAAATATATGCATTCTTTTATGTTAAATTTGTGTTTTTCCAAAAACAGTACAGCCGATCGGCTATTTATTAAAATCCCAATTATAGCCGCTCGGCTATACGTTAAAAATAAAAAATAAAAAAGAGGACCCGCCTAGCCGGTCGCCGGTCGTCGGTCGTCGTCCGTCGTCTTTTTCAAAAAAAATAGTATAGCCGGTCCAAAAAAAAAAAAAACCCACGTATAGCCGTGCGGCTATACCATTCATAAAACGATCCCATGTATAGCCGTACCGCTCTACTGTTCATGTAACAAAGAAAAGGGCCCCCCGAGCGCCCGGGCAGCAGTTGTGTCGAAAACAATACAGCCGCGCGGCGATACTATTTTTATAATAAAAAACCGTAGTATAGCCGGGCGGCTATACGCGTTGAGCATGTTTTATCTAAACGGAGTATATCCGCATGGCTATACGATTTATTAATAAAAAATTAAAAGAAAGACCCTTGTAGTTGCGTAAGTTTTATAATTTATAGTTATGCAAGTGAAGTCGAATTACATCAAACTCCTGCGGACAATCACATATGCATGAGTAGGCCTTGGCATTTCTCCTATAACTGCGTTGCATTTCCAGTATATTGGCCCCGCCTTGTCTCTCAAAAACCAAATCCATTTACTAACTCTCTAAAATGTCCCTAAGATCTCTCACCTCTAAACCCAAAACCCTTCACTGTATCTTCCACTCTCTTCTCTCACCCTCCAAACCCAACACTCATTACAATCCCTTCTCTTCTCTCACTTACCAAAACCCACCACCTCCACCATCACCACACCTGGTGAATGAGATCTCACGCATTCTCAGCGACCACAGAAACCCTCACCACGACTTGGAGCATTCCCTCAACCCTTTGTGTACCCAAATATCCACAAACTTGGTTGAACAAGTTCTAAAACGGTGCAAAAATCTTGGCCTCCCTGCCCACAGGTTCTTTCTCTGGGCTAAAACAATTCCGGGGTTTCAGCACAGTTTTGAAAGCTATCACATTTTGATTGAGATTTTAGGAAGTAGCAAGCAATATGCTGTGTTGTGGGATTTTCTTATAGAAGTGAGAGAGTCCAAGTGTTTTGAGATTGTCCCAGAAGTTTTCTGGCTTATTTTTAGAGTTTACAGTAGAGCTAATTTGCCTCGTGATGCTATTCGAGCTTTTAATAGAATGGTTGAGTTTGGAATTAAGCCTAGTGTTCATGATCTTGATCAGCTTATGTATACATTATGTAAAAGAAAGCATGTAAAGTATGCCCATGAGTTTTTTGATAAAGTTAAGAGTGGGTTTGAGTTGAATGCTAGGATTTATAGTATTTTGATGAGGGGTTGGGGAGACATTGGTGATTCGGATGAAGCACGTAAGTTGTTTGATGAAATGACTGAACGAGGATGTTTGGTGGATGTGCCTGCATATAATAGTTATTTGGAAGCTTTGTGTAAAGGTGGGAAAGTTGATGAGGCCTATAAGATATTCCGGGAGATGGGGTCAAATGGAACTGACCCGGATGCTTGTACTTATTCGATTTTCATTCGTGCATATTGTGAAGCCAATGACATTCATTCAGTTTTTAGGGTGCTTGACAGGATGAAGAGATATAATCTTTTGCCTAATGTGTATTCTTACAATTGTATTATCAAGAAACTGTGTAAGAATGACAAGGTGGAAGAGGCTTACCAACTTTTGGATGAGATGATTGAGAGTGGAGTTATGCCGGATGCGTGGAGTTACAATGCAATCCAAGCTTATCATTGTGATCATTGCGAGGTTAACAGGGCTCTTAGGTTGTTATATAGAATGAAAAAATATAACTGCAAGCCAGATAGACATACTTATAATATGGTGCTAAAGTTGTTGATTAGGATAGGAAGATTTGATCGGGCAACGGAAGTTTGGGAGAGTATGGGGGAGATGGGATTTTATCCTTCTGTTTCAACATATTCCGTAATGATCCACGGTTTGTGCAAGAAAAAACATAAGCTAGAGGAGGCTTGTAAATACTTTGAGATAATGATCGATGAAGGTATACCACCATACTCTTCTACAGTTGAGATGTTGAGGAACCGGCTCAGGGGCTTAGGGTTCCTCGAGCATACTGAGATACTTGCAAGTAAGATGGAACAAAGCACTTCTTGTTCAATACTAGAGATGGCAAACTTGATGAGAGGTGATAAAACTTGTGTAACATCTAGAAGTGAGCATACTGACAATGAAAGTGATTGATAAACCGAAGGCTGCGAATCTGGGGCTAGCTCGCAGGGTCTGCATGAAGCAGTTACCCGAGTCTGAAGAGAGCTCTTCAGATGAACTGTCAGGTTTAGTCCCTTCTTCATGCCACCACATTTATATCTGTCTATTTGTTTAGATATCTTGCTCTTGCATGTCTATCCTAGGCATGCTCAATGAAATTTTTAGAGAAACCAATACGTATAATACCCCAGTTAGTTACATAACCAGGACTATATCCTTAGAATTGATAATCAGATGATGTGAAACCAGCACTGGGAGAAGCAAATTATTGGTTTCCATGCCTCTGTTATTAAATAATATAGTTACTGTTTTCCTTAGTTATATGGTTGGTGAGTAGTGTTACTACTCTCTACTCAGGGTTATACATCTTTTGATGATCGGTCCAACTCTAAAAAACCAATTTGTTATTGCATAACCATGATATTTGGCTGCGTTAAAATGTAAATAGTGTTAATTCCCTGGTTCCAGTGAATTAAAATAGTAGTGGTTTTGTTTATTTAGTTTAGTTTTTCATTATACATCATTAAATACTTTGCACGGCAACATGACTAAAGTCATTGCATTAAGAGTCTGAAAATTTTGATCATTGTCATGTGTTTTATCTTACTGCAGATATTGACATTGGCATCATGATTGGAGAAATCCTGAAAAGATTATGGGTTTCTAGATGAAGGGTTAGTTACTTACCACTCTGCTGTATAATTGAGTTTCTGGATTTTCCTTTATTATGGAATAATTTTTGGGGGGACAATTGATATTCAAAATACACGTAAACAACTATATCTAAAATCAACTCTTCAGGGCCGCTGTGCAATTGCCAAGATAAAGGATGAATTGGGAAGGAGGCCAAACTTGAATCTGGAGTTTGCTATTGTGAATCTTATTGGCAATTTTTAAGGAAACATGGCCTTATTTTAATGGTTGGTCATTTGCCATCTGAACTAGTGCAAACACTTCTTACTAAAAGAGAAATGGTTTTCTTTGCTAACGAGAAAACCTTCTGACCAGTACATGCATCCGTCATGTATAAAGTGTCAGGGTAAATACGAAGTATGCGCTACATGAGAAACGTTTTTCTAACTTCTGAGTTTGTCTCCTTGATGCTTTGATACTGATTAATGAACCTCTTCTTAATTGCAATTTCTGCAGACTATTTTCCTTGGGAACTTGTACTTGGATGTATTCCATAGGTGCAGCCATATTTTACTATCTTCAGTTACCAATTGAGTTTTGTAACTCTGTTTTGTGAACACAATATCCTGTTGAAGTTTGATAGGTTATCTCCGTCAGCAAATTGAGCTGAGCATAAAAACCTCAAGTGCTGTTAGTGTTTGTTTCAGTTACCTTGATTTTACGGGATCATTTAGCGTGAAAACTAGCATTTGATCTCTTTCATAAAGACAAGATCGCTAATTGGCTATCTAAATGGAAACAGAAAATGATTAAACAGTAACTGATTAGAGTTAAAACTCCACCACATCTAAATGAAAAAAGAAAAGAAAAAAGTTATTGACCAAAAAAGAAAAAAAAAAGAAAAAAGAAAAGTTAAAGAACAAGCACCCCATTAATGGTCAACATACGATCAATCAACTAGCATGAAAAGATTTCCAGTAAAGTTCTCTATTATACTTGAAACACAGCTAGCATGAAAAGATCAACATACCATCCATCAACTAAGAAGCTTCAAGTGACAGACAGGGAGTAGAAACATCAACAATTATAACCAAAATCATGTCCAAATTCAAGTAATCACAACACAACAAGATGTAAGCAGTTCAAAACGTAGTAAAGTGTTCTAAGGACAAGTAAAGAACAAGCTTCCCATTAATGGTCACAAATTGCAATAGACCGGTCAATTCAAAACACGAGCCTGCAGCCAAAACAATCATAATTGGAGTTGCTTATGGCAGCAACATCAACCTTAGTCTACAAAAAAGAAATTTACGGAAACCACAGAAGGCCCACAGACAACCAAGTCACATAAGGTAATGCAGGTTCAAAACCAAAAAGGACTAAATACCTTAAGGCCAAAACAATACCAGTGACAGATGACTAGCATTTACGACTAGTCATATGGGAGGCTGCTTATTGTTACACATTAAACAAAGATAAAACGTAAAAATTTGCAGGCAATCCTCCTTCCAACATATACCTATATATATAGAGGAAGTCTGCAGGGAGTCCAGGAAGGCTTAAAGAAAGAGAAAAATAAAAAACTTGCAGGGAGTCCTACTCCAACACATACCAAAGTCTGCTTATTATTACTCGCTAAACAAAGAGAAAATAAAAAACTTGTAGGCAATCCTCCTTCCAACACACACACACACACACACACACACACACACACACACACTCACACACACATATATATATTATTACACATTAAACAACGAGAAAAATAAAAACTTTAAGCCAATTCCCCTTCCAACATTTTGAAGCTAGGCTGCTTATTATTACACATTAAAGAAAGAAAAAGAAAAACCTTGCAGGCAATCCACTTCCAACATATACACATGTAGGAAGGCTGCTTATTATCAAATGACAAAAATAGAGAATTCACCAATATGCAGGAAACCATAAAAACGTTTTCTTGAGCCTTTCCATCCACCTTCACTTCCCTGCGAGTCAATAATAGTGCCCTTAACAAACTTATTGTAGAATGTAAACTGCTAAGAATTGCTTATTTGAAGATGAATTGAGTTACTATAAGAACCTGTCTTGCAATGCAAAGCTTTTGGGGTCATTCCACAACCGTCTTTCCTTTTGAATTAATTATGTCCTGCAAAGTCAGAGATATAAAAGTATGACGCTGGTTGATACAATATTATGCTGGTTACACTCAAAATTACGTAAGAAGAAGTATTCTGACTTCTAAAATTCACTATACCAAAGAAAACGGATGTCATTGAGTAGTATAATACTGAATGGCTCTCTCTCTCTCTCTCTCTCTCTCTCTTCCCCACTTGATAGTGATATTTAGAAGTCTTGTGTACTATTTTTGTGACGTTTTTTTGCTTACAAGAGGAATCGAACGTAGAATCTATATTTTACCCACCCTTGCGCCATGCAACTTGAGCTAAAATTCGTGGGACATTTTTTTTTGGTGAAGTTGATGTTATAAAAAAATTAAAAGTAAAAAAATTTGGCGCTGGATACTTTGATTCTGTTTCCAAACATATTCACTTGTGTGGTTTTCTTCCACAGGCTTTGTACCAAGTACATCATACATTCTAAGCACCGATAATAAGAATAATAAATTAAATTCAAATCACATACCTGGGCTCCCAGGACGATGCCTAGCTGCTGAAGATGATGGTGGTGTCTCGATTTCCAGATCAGAGATACCCTGGATCTTTGGCCAATCAGGACCGTCTTCCTTTTCACATCGTTTTGTCAGTGAGGGGCATCCGTGGATGGATAGATGCTGGAGGGAGGTTGGCAGCCCACCCTCTGGCAAGGACTGGAATGCAGGGCAGTCTTCAATGTAAAGATCAGTGAGGGAGGTGAGATTGTTGAGTGTGTCCACAGAAGGGCCAAATGACTCGAGCCTTTCACATGAGCCAATGCTGAAATACTGAAGAGAGGTTGGGAGCCCTTCAACTGGCAGTGTCACAAGCATAGGGCAGTTTCGGATGGAGAGTGATTTAAGCGAGGTGAAGCCTTCGAACACCCTCTTTTCTGGGGTGGATAGATGCTCAAGATCTTCACAACCATGGATAAACAATGTTTCGACTTTGGGGAGAAGGGGCCACTTGGGAAGGCAGATGAGATTCGAGATGTTTGAAATCTCCAAGGAGAGTAAAGAGCTGCTACTGGGGACCCTGCCAACTATGAGGTTCAAGATGGTTTCATCATCATGACATGCCTCCAAAGCTAAAAGCGCAAGCCGTACTGCGTGCTCATCATCTGGGAGGTTGCTCAGTGACTTGCACCCACGTATTTCCAATTTCTGCGGATAGAGGCCACTTGGTAACTCATGCAGCTTGGGGCAATTGATAATTTTCACATTGATCATGTCCAAGGTCAATGTAATATATTTTCGAGTATTCCCATTCTCATCAGTGTAAGGTACTATTGATATTTTAAGACCTTCTCTGTTCCAATGCTCGAGTTCAGGATTGTCAACCAGTGTTATAAACTTTATTGGGCCCCAAGGAATGACTTGCAGTGAGTCACACTTTTTGATCTTCAGATCAATTAGGTTAAGAAACAAGAAGGGCACTTTTTTCAGCTTGGGGCAAAAACTTATCCTTAGTCTTTTGATGGATCGGTACATCTCTTCCTCTTCTTCCTGCCATTCCTTCAACTCTAGCATATTTTTGAGAAGGAGCTCTCTGAGTTCGGGTAGTTTGCCAAGGGAGAGGATTTTGATTTTTCTGCAATGATTCAAACGAATACTAACCAATTTCCTGAACTGTCCCAGTCTGTCTGCTTGCATCCATGTAGGAACTGCAGTGCCCCTGTAGTGACAGATTTCGAGCTCTTTAAGCACCATTGGGTGAGGTTCCAGATCTTCAAGTACCTGATTTTCAATGTCGTCATCTTGCAAATTAAGATCGCTGTTGCTCCATTCATATACCACTTTCTGAAGCATTTCTTTTCCTTTCAAGTTGGCCTCCCCTGCATCTACTGCATTTTCCAGCTTTGAGATGTGTAGTTTTCCTGTAAGGTATGCCATATTCTTCAATTCTTCAAGTTTGTATCCCGTCTTGCAGCCAACCTGAATAGTTTGATTTTTATTTTTGGTCAGATTAGATGCATGGGAGCCCAAGGCTCAACAACAAAGAAGAGAGAGAAAATTAGGCTGTCATCCTTATCCTTGATGTGTGTGTGTGTTTTATTTGCCTTGATTAAGGTGATACCTAGATTGGATTTTGATCAAGTACGTTACTATGTATGTACATTCATATTTGTAGGTATATTGATGGACCTACGTATATATGTATATACATAGTAATAAAAAGAAAAAAAAGCCTTATAATTTTGTACTCACAGCCTACAGGTTTATATTCAAAATCAAAATTCAATCTCACGCATGATTTTAATGAAAAAACAATGTTATGGATGGAAGGATGAAAACAAAAACAGAAAAACCCAGAAGAGACAAGCCAACCTGAAATTTGTGTAAGTTGTGCAGACTGGTTTGACACCCCATGCTTGGTGGGAACGTCGCCTTGAACCAGAACATATCGTCTAGTTCCAGATGTCTCAACTTGACGAGAGATGCGAAATTTCTGGGCAAAATGAAATTCCAATAATGGCAACCCAAAAGTTTCAAGGTCTCCAAATTGTAGAGCTTGCATATCGAGTCAGGAAGCTTTTCAATTTCCGTTGCTGACAAATCAAGGTAGCGCAAAAGCTTCAACTCTCCAATTGAGTCTGGCAGCTGTGTCAGAGGTGTACTTGAACTCAGGTCTAGCAGGCGCACATATCTAAGTGAGTGGAATATTTCACGTTGCACTTTATCGAAGGCCTTAAAGTTTTGACCTGGCAATAGAACTGTACGCAGCTTCTTCGATTTTCTGATTATCTCCAAGGCAGGCTGATCAACGTCGTTGCAAAGTATTGATACACACCGAGCCTTTTCCTTGAAATCTCCCACACCATTCACTAATTGGCAACAGAAGGGACTGGAAATTAGTTGTGCCAAGTCATGGATGAGATCATGCATCTTGTACTTTGCGTCGCTTGTGCATTCGAAGAAGAACCTGTCCGACAGGTCCTTGAAGTATCTCCCTCCTATGTCTTCTGTCCTTTCTTCATCACCAGGTTCAATAATTGCTTCCGCCATCCACATTTTGACCAACTCATCCTTTTCATAAACATGAGCTTTTGGAAACAGGGAACAG